AAATCTGCTCTGACAGGAGCTGCACAGGGCAGAGCTTTTTAAAATGTGTGCAAACTGGAGAGAAGAGCTAATGCTTGTTTGTGCTTCATCTAAAATACAAACAGCAGCCCGAGTGGGTGGCTGGGTGGAGAGCACGTTGTCGGCCAGGCTGATGAGGGAAAGGCAGGCGCCAGCCGCGCCAGGAGCGAGAGGGCAGCGTTTCTACAGACGCAACAGCACTGCCAGAGGCGCCCGTGCAATTCTATACCAACAACTTCTGCACTTCAGCCCGGCCGGTGGCTCAGGGGTTGAGCGTCGACCTAGGAACCAGGAGGTCACGGTTGGATGCCCCATCAGGCACAGGCCCGGGCTGTGGGCTCCATCCCCAGTGGGGGGCGTGCAGGAGGCAGCCGTCCATGACTCTCATCACTGATGTTTCTCCCTCTCCCTCTCCCTCTCCCTTCCTCTCTCTGAAATCAATAAAAACATTTTTTCTTACAGAAGCAGGGTCACTGCAGTGGCCCTACAATGCGCTGAACCTGCCGACACTTAAAAAAACAAGAATCGGGGGAGCGGGCGAGGCCAGGCCCTAAGGACACTCTGGGCACAGGACGCACCGCCTGCGGCCACGCGGGACTCAGATGGCAGGTCTCCCCGTGCCTCCGTCCACGGGGCTGTCTCTACCCTTTACGAATAGCATCCCTCCTCCAGCTGGGGGTGCTGCTCCGCACACCACCCTGCTCCCGCCTGTCACTCACAGCGGCTCCCAGGAGGCGGGCCTTCCTGCTGGGCGGGTGCTAAAGCTCCTGGGGGCTGGGTGGGGAGGGAGATGGGGTTGGGTGGAGTGGGGAGGGGAGGAGGATCTGGGCTGGGTGGGGAGGGGAGGTGAGGGGTCCAGGGACTGGGTGGGGAGGGGGTCAGGGTGGGGCTGAGTGGGGAGGGGAGGGGAGGGGCCAGGGTGGGGTGGGGAGGGGGCCAGGGTGGGACTGGGTGGGGAAGGGGCCAGGGTGGGACTTGGTGGGGAAGGGGTCCGGGTGGGGTGGGCCAGGAGGGGAGGGGGCCAAGGACTGGGTGGGGAAGGGGTCAGGGTGGGGCTGGGTGGGGAGGGGAGGGGAGGGGTCCAGGGACTGGGTGGGGAGGGGGCCAGGGTGGGACTGGGTGGGGAAGGGGCCAGGGTGGGACTTGGTGGGGAAGGGGTCCGGGTGGGGGTGGGCCGGGAGGGGAGGGGGCCAGGGTGGGGTGGGCCAGGAGGGGAGGGGGCCAAGGACTGGGTGGGGAAGGGGTCCGGGTGGGGGTGGGCCGGGAGGGGAGGGGGCCAGGGTGGGTGGGCCGGGAGGGGAGGGGGCCAAGGACTGGGTGGGGAAGGGGTCCGGGTGGGGGTGGGCCGGGAGGGGAGGGAGACAGGGTGGGGCTGGGTGGAGGAATTGGCTTCAAGACAGAGGCTGGAACCTGCTCGGCAGCTGTGACGGCAGCTGTGACGGCGTGAGCCCCCCCCCCCACACCCTCTGCTATACACCCCCCTCCTCCCCACACTACCCCTTCCTTCCGCCCCTCTCCCCACCCCCCCCAGCCTTCCTGGGACGTGTTTGGTTTGGTTTAAAAGTCACTTCATTCTACTTCTATGTCATTAACTTAAGGGAAGCCGGGATGTGGAAACCCCAAACTGCAAAACCACCCTGTCCCCTGACCCAAGTTCCAGTGTAGGGACTCGGAGAAAGCCTGGCTGCTCCCCTGATGTGAGGGGACACGGATCCCCAACACCCTCCTGACCCCCACCGGCCCCAACACCCACACAGCGCGGGAGGCACCCTCAGAAAGGAAACGTGTTTCTGACAACGTAACACATCCATTGCTTCACCTTTGTTCCCTGTCCTACAAACTCTCATAAAGGGTTAGCTTACCACACACACAGGCACACCCACACACGCATGCACACACACGCATCCACACACGGACAGGCTCAGACACGCCGCGCACAAGCACCGCCCGCACCGCCCGGCCCGCAGACGGGGGGCCGGTGAGGGCCAACCCCAGCCTCCCTGGGACCCCAGGTACGGGGCCCCCACGCCCAGGGGAGCCTCCGGGAGCCGAGACCTGCGGAGGGTGGAAGGCGGACACTGCATCTCTGGCCGAGTTTGCCGCCTGCATGTCAGTCACAGGATCCCCACCCCGCGCCCCAACTCCCTCCCCCGCCCTGAAGAGGACTTGGGGATCCACCAACGACAGAGCAGCCACCAGGAGACCAAGACCGCATTTCAACAGCGTCCAGACCAACCCCCACAGCCAGCCGCCTGCACCTCGCAGGTCTGACCTCCCAGACCCCACAGACCTAGGAGCCCTCCAGGAGCCCCCCAGGAGCCGCCCGCCAGCCACCCCAGGACATCCCCCGCCCCGGACATCCAGGGAAGTTGCCCAGGGACCCCAAGGCTTCCCTGGGGGGGGGGGGGCGCTCACAGGGCAGCGGGGCAGGGGGACCGGACACGCGGCGTCTTGGTGGGCAGCACGCCCACAGCCCCGCCCCACCCGTGTGCCCCCGTCTGGTCGGGGGGGGGGGGGGGACACGCTGAGCCCCTCGGAGCGTCCGGTCCCAGGGCACTGGGCGCGCAGGTCCCCACGCGGCAGCCGTCCCGCCCGCCCTCCAGGTCCACGGCCAGCTCCCGACACAGAGACTCGCCAGCGGGACCGGCGGGGAGAAACTGAGGCTCACCCTGCCCAGGGGCCCGTGCTGGTCCGTCCGTCTGTCCTTCCGTCTGTCCGGCCTCACATCCCGAAGTTCCCGCTTAGGAGCTGGCGGCTGCCTCCCGCTCCCAGTGAGCGCGGCTCGAGCAGGCAGTTTCCGCGGAGCCCAGCCGCCGGGAGTTGGAGGGAGTCTAGCTCCTCCCCCCACCCCGCCTCCCTCCTCCTCCTCCCCCGCCTCCTCCCGCCTCCTCCCGCACTGGCGCTCGGGGAGCCCGGGCTGTCAGAGCCCCGAGCTGCCCTGGGTCCTGGGGAGAAGGGGTTCCCGGCAGGTCCCACCATGTCCCGGGGAACCGGGGGGCCCTGCAGGGGGCACAGCGCCCGCCCGGCCAGCTCCGCAGCCCGTGGGCGCCGGGAGGAGCGCTTACAGAGTCTTCGGTAATCGCACGCACCCTCCTGACGGGCAGGAAGGCAGACCTGCAGCAAACGGACCCTAATTCCTAAACAGCTACTTTAACAGAGAGGAGCCGGGCGGCGTGGCTCAGTGGACAGAGCGTCAGCCTGCGGCCTGAAGGGTCCCGGGTTCGATTCCCAGTCAGGGCACAGGCCCGGGTTGCAGGCTCCATCCCCAGTAGGGGGCGTGCAAGAGGCAGCCGATCAATGATTCTCTCTCATCATTGATGCGTCCATCTCCCTCTCCCTCTCTGAAATCAAAGTGCTTTAACACCGATGAACCAGCCAGATAAACAACACACTCAGAGGCAATGCAGCGAACCACCCACCGCACAGCCTGAAACCGAACCTCCCAGCGCAGCGGCAGCCGCCTGTGAGCACGCTTTCCTGGAAAACACACTTTCCCCCTAAAACAGCGCTGCTGGCCCCTGGACTCCGGAGCAGTTTTAGCTCCCACGCTCTGACCGCCTGAGGACAGGCTAGCTCAGCCGCCCCACGCGCTCCGGGCTGGACCTGGGTTCCCAGGGGGAGTTTCGTTAATAAAACTCTAAATGGCCACACCGTGCGGGACGCCGCGGGCGGCGAGTTAAAGAAAACGAGAGAAATGCCAGGCGCAGGAAACAGCTCCCGGAACGACAGGCAGGGCCACAGCCGCAGCAGCGGAGCATCAGGGGTGAAATGGATGGGTTAACACGGCTATCGTTTCCCAAGGTCAGCAGCTGGGTCGAAAGCCAGGGACACCGGCCGCCCTGCCAGGGGCTGGCCTCGAAGACCCCGGCTACAGACACACACAGGATCCATTTCATAGTGTTTCCTACTGACCTCAGAGAGGAAGGGAGAGGGAGAGAGACATCAATGATGAGAGAGAATCAGGGACCGGCTGCCTCCTGCACGCCCCCCACTGGGGATGGAGCCCACAACCCGGCCTGTGCCCTGACTAGGAACCGAACCCTGACCTCCTGGTTCACGGGTCAAGGCCCAACCATGGAGCCTCGCCGGCCGGGCACCACATTCATTTAAAAAGTCCCAATTCCTCAAGGCCTGTCAGCGAGAGGCCGGAGCGGTTCTCAGAAAAGGGAACGTTCAGCCAGTAACGACACAAACAGAAATGGTGGGAAACATGACCCACGCAAGACATCCGTTCACCTGCGGGCGCGGCTCATCCCTCTGGGCCTGGAGCCTGCGCGGGGCCGGCAGGAGCACCGATGTCATAACTGAGACCGAGGACCCAGCGACCTGAGGACGCCCCCACGACTGCCGGGCGTGTGGACGGAGCCGCCTCCCTCGCGGAGTGGCTGGGCACCTCAGGGCGCGGGACCTCTTTGGATGTCATGCTTTGGGGTGCAAGGGGGCCTTATAGGCAGAAGTCAAGGGTGCACGAGACGTCCCCAAATGGCCCGGCCGGCGTGGCTCCGTGCTTGAGCCTTGACCCATGCACCAGGAGGTCACGCTTCGATTCCCGGTCAGGGCACAGGCCCGGTTGTGGGCTCCATCCCCGGTGTGGGGTGTGCAGAAGGCAGCCGGTCCATGATTCTCTCTCATCACTGATGCTTCTATCCCTCTCCCCCTCCCTTCCTCATATACACACACATACACACACACACACACACACACATATACATTCACACACACATATACATTCACACACACATATACATTCACACACACACACACATATACATTCACACACATATACATTCACACACACACATATACATTCACACACACATACATTCACACACACATATACATTCACACACACATACATTCACACACACACATACATTCACACACACATACACACACACACACACATACACACACACACACACACATATACATTCACACACATATACGTCAGAATAAATTGAAACTAAAAAAAAAATCCCCACCTGTTCAGGAAAGCCCCCGACAAGAGGAAGGGGTCTCGCCCAGAACGCCTCCACCTGCCGGTGAGACCCGAGGCGAGGCGCCCCGACTCCGTACGGGATCACGTGTCACGCAGACGCCCGGGGCCTGGAGAGCCACAGACAGGCATGTCTCCCGGGCCGGCAGCTCCGAAGCAGCCGTGGTCTGTGCACAGCCTCAGCCCGCACCGCATGCCTCGCCAGGGCTTCTGTGGGGCTGGAGGTGGGATGAGCCAGGCCAGGGGCCGGGAGGAGGGTGCAGAGCGGCTGCAGGGCCAGGAGCCCGGGCCGGGGCGAGACGCACGGAGGCAGGCTTATCGCGGCATCAGCCGCTCCCCGACCACAGCTGGAGCCGCTCCAGGGCGTGCGGGAAGGGCAGCTCACCGCCCGCTGTGGAGCCTCATCACTTCCAGGAAGGGCGGGCCGGCCGCCAGCGGGGCGAGGGCTCACCGTGGAGACAGCGTCCCCCGTTCTCTGACCTCGTCACCCGAGAGGTCTCCCTTCCAGCTGGGCTGTCGCACGGGGGTGCTTCCTCGGAGACCAGTTCATCTCGCTGGGGCGGGTGCTGCTCAGCGTGGGGGGTGGGGGGGAGGCAGTGGGTTCGCTCACCCAGGACCCCCTGGGCCTAACGGGGAGGCACCGCTGAACCCGTGATGGGTTACGGAGGAGCCCACTGTGCAGCTCTCAGGCCTGAGAATAAAAGGTCCCCATCGCAGCTTCCGGGGCGAGGGCCGGGGGTGAGTCTGAGCCACATGAGCTCGGCTGCGCCCGGCTCGGCTGCAGATCCGCCGATGGGAGGGGACTGGGTGACGGCCAAGCTGAGCACGTGGAAACCTGCCGTTCCTTCAGCCACAGACGTCCAGAGACCAACCAGGCAGAAGCCCGCCACCAGCCAGGCCGGGTAGCGGGCGGGTAGCGGGCGGGCGGCAGGCGGCGGGCGGGCAGCGGGCAGAGGGCAGGCACACAGGGGACCCAGCTGCTCCCCCCGCAGCAGAGGGAGGGTGCCAGGCGTGTGCCGGGCACCACCCAACAGGAGGGGAGGGAAGGCACCTCGACCCCCACAAGGTCCCCGGCTTCGGAACCGCGGCTCTGACTCACTACCCCTAGTTTTGCTTCTCAAAGGCCGCGTGAATTCAGGACAAGAAAACGGTTACCCGCGCACCAGGAGCATGAACGCGCGTGGAACGCAGGGTTTCGGTCCCGCCCATGCGCCCGCAGGGGGCACCAGTGACTTTCCGTTAGCAATGTCCCGCAGTCGGGGAGACCTGGGGCGACGGATCCCCCGGAGCCACACAGCCACACACTGAAAAGTGGACGTGGACACGCACAGGCCAGGCCGTGGGCCCTGCCGGCAGAGCCCCGCCCACACGAGCACCGCTCACTGAGGGCTGTGCCTGTGGGCCCCGCGGGAAGCGCCCCCCGCTCCCCGTCATCGCTGACGTCACTCAGAAACCAACCCCCCGGCGTTTCTTTTCCCCAAAGACCGACTCGCCTTCACCTCGCCGTTTTGTGTATTAGACCAAGAGCAGCTGACTCCTAACGCTCCTTTTTTTAAAAAAAATGTTTTTATTGATTTCAGAGGAAGGGAGAGGGAGAGAGAGGGAGAGAGAAGCATCAATGATGAGAGAGAATCACGGATCAGCTGCCTCCTGCACGCCCCCCACTGGGGATCAAGCCGCAACTGGGCCTGTGTCCTGACCGGAAATCGAACCGTGACCTCCTGGTTCCTAGGTCGAGGCTTAACCACTGAGCCACGCCGGCCGCAGCCTAACATTCCTTTCAGTTGTGTCCTCAGCGGCAAACGCCTTCCTTCGGCAGAAGCTTCCGGATGTGGTCAGGGCTCTCAGATCCAACCTGGCCAGGAGCCGAGGCAGTGTCACCAAAAGGCGTCGCCGCCAGCTGAGCTGAGGGTCCCCAGGAACCAGGTGGGCGGGGACCACACCAGCCGTCACCCGTGTCCCCGGCATCGGCGGAGCCGCAGCCACGCTGGGCCAGCAGTTTCCACGCACACAAATTACCCGAATCCCAATAAAAAGCCGCTCCCGGCACCACTGCAGCTCCAAACACAGCCCGCTGAGCCTGAGTGTCACCATGGAAACTCGGAAGCTTTCTCGTGCGCACATTCCGCGGTTGGAACTGACTGATCACCAGGACCCACTTTTATATCTGAAACTGCTGGGAGTCTAAACGCGGATCCGCCCGCCCACCCATGAGAGCGACGGGACCTGCCCGAACCCCGACGCCACCGTCCTTCCCTCCGGAGGATAACGGGGCTCACCGCGGTGGCAGCGGCAACGTCTCCAAGTCCAGGCCCTCAGTAGCTCGGACCCAAGACGAGCCTGTTTCACCACTTAAACGGGGACCCGCTGGCAACCGAACGGAGAGACGCTTACGTGGCCTCGCACACTCGCAAACACGCGGGCAGAGTCCTGCGAACTGCAGTCGGCGGGGCACCAGGAAACCCCACGGCTGTGAACGCCCGCGGCCTGCGGTCCTCCTGTCTGCCACCAATTCCCTTCCTAACGCCCGCGCCCTCACCGCGTGGTCACGTCCTTTTGGCAAAGGCGCCAACCTGGTGACACCCACACGCTGCCTGGTCTGCGCCGGCACCGAGCCGCTGGCCGTGCCGGAGAAATAAACACAATCCCGCCGGCCTGGCGCCGCCTGATGGGCGGTGACCATGCCACCCAGGCCGGCCAAGCGAGCTCCGCGCACGACCTCAGACGCGGTGATAAAACCCACATGAAAACTGCCGCCGTCGGGAAAGCACTTCCATCGAACACTGAGCCTCCAGACAGAAGCATCTTCGCTGCGCCTGGAGGTGGAAAACCCGTGTCCACAGCGCGGCTCCGAGAAACCTCGGGGAAATGCGAGGGGAGGCAGGACAGCAGCGAGAGAACACACCGGTCACGCGGGCCTCCTCCTCGCACCGGGGAGCCTGCCGCGGCCCCACGGCCGTGAGTGCAGGGGGCTCTGCTTCCGGGAACATTGTCAGAGAGATGACTGGCGGGTCGGGGGTGGGGGCGTCCGGCCGGAGGGCCGTAGAAGGGCCGCAAGTCCCTGCCAAGCCACTGGGCCTGGCCCTGCCGAGGCACCCGCAGGGGGCGCTCAAAACTCCATCAGCCCAGGAGCTTTTCATCGCCACACAACCTGGTGTCCAGTGAGTGCTGTGAGGCGAGTGAGGGCCCTGGCAGACAAAAGCCCACTCCCGGTGGGACGGACGGACGGACGGTGTATTCACGTATGTATACACCCACATACAGATACAGACATATCCATGCACATGGCCCAGCACACCAGGAGACCCCTAACTTCATTTAAAAACGAAATCAGCACCAGCTGGCGTGGCTCAGTGGTTGAGTGTCGACCTAGGAACCAGGAGGTCACGGGTTCGATTCCCGCTCAGGGCACAGGCCTGGGTTACGGGCTCCATCCCCAGTGGGGGGTGTGCAGGAGGCAGCCGATCAGTGACTCTCTCTCATCGTTGATGTTTCTCTCTCCCTCTCCATTCCCTTCCTCTCTGACATAAATAAAAGTGTGTTTTAAAAAAATGAAATAACCAGTTGGGTTCAGCGTCCCCACCCCTTCCCACTTCCTCTCTGTCCGCAGTGTGGACCCAACGACGCTTACAGCCCAGAGGCAACAGAAAGGAAGTGGGAAGATGGGGTGGGGGCCCCCGAACAGCCCAGATCCCAGCACCGCCCAGCACCGCCTGCCTTCACCTCCCATGGACCCACCGCCCGCGCACCCCTCTCAGGGCCCTGAGTCCCCTCTCTTCTTCTTCTTTTTTAAATTGTGTTTATTGACTTCTTTTTAGAGAGAGAGGGGACGGAGAGAGAAACATTGGTTGTTGTTCCACTTATTTATGCACTCCCTGGTTGATTCTTGTGTGTGCCTTGACCGGGGATCGAACCCGCAACCATGGCCTATCAGGACGATGCTCTGACCACTGAGCAACCTGGCCAGGGCTCATAAGTCCACTCTCTTGTCTGCATGGGGAGGAGGTGGGTTACTTCCTGGGCAGGTTCCAGCCCACGGGACGGGGACATGGAGTTCTCTGAGGTCCCTTCAGCCCAGGATGGGGGGTGGGCGGCACTGCTCCTCTCTGCCGTCATCACTCACTGGCTCTTCCCGTGCACCCCATCCTTCCTCCTCCACCGTCCCCGCCACCAAGACGGGCACCTGTCCAGGCCGGGCAATGACGGACCCAGAGCCCCTGGACATGGGGCCTCGCTGGTCCACACTGGCCTCCAAGAGTATATCCCCAAACCTGAGGCTGTCTGCCTGTGAGGTGGGAGGTGCAAGGTGCGAGGTGCCAGCCAGGCTGAGAAAACCGACCAACACAGGGAAGCGGAGGAGAGCGCCCCCAGTGCCGACCGCTGCGTCCAGCTTCACCCCGTCCTCCGGGCCAGCACACGTCCACCTGGTCTTCAGTCGCCTGGGTCCCTGGCAGCCGAGGCGCTAACAGGGCTGGGGTTTCCCGGGGCCTGGCCCTGGTTGGGGGCTGACGCTGCTGCTTTGCTGGGGTGAGGAGCCCGGGCCTCCACTCCGCCCGCTTCTCTTTTTATCCCTTTTAAAACTTTACCTCCTTCCTTCCTTTTATCCTGTTTTCCTTTTTCCAAATATTGAGTGGCCCAGGGGGAGCGCTTTCGGTTCTCCCTCTTCTACGAGAATGGAGAACTGAATTCAGGGCCGAGGTGGGCCCGGCCGGGTGGCTCAGGGGCTGAGCGTCGACCTAGGAACCAGGAGGTCACAGTTGGATTCCCGGTCAGGGCACAGGCCCGGGTTGCAGACTCGGTCTCCAGTGTGGGGGATGGAAAAGGCAGCCAATCAGTGATTCTCTCTCATTATTGATGTTTCTCTCGTCTCCGTTCCTCTCTGAAATTAATATAAATATATTTTTAAAAAGAACCAAATCAAGGACCGAAATTCACGAGGTGCAGGAGATGCCTGAGCAGCCCCCACACCAGGACCCCCGCTCTCCCTGGAGGAAGCCCGCGGGTTGGGCTCCTCACGGGGCCACGAAGGAAGTGGCTCTCAGCCACACGCACAGCAGAGCCGCCAGGCAGGCCTCTTCCTGGGCGTTACCTGAAGCGTCTGCTCAGCGGATCTCGGGCTCCATCCCCAGCAAGAAGCCCCACAGGAGACGTGCAGAGCCAGCAGCTCCATGACAACGGCGCAGGGTGTGCTGGGGAGGAGGGAGAAAGGGGCCCAGGAAACACTGGAGCACCCGGCACAGCGGAGTCAACACAGCGCCACCTATGGGAATCCTTGGGGAGAGTCCTGTCTGCTCTGCAAACAAGCCCTAGAGCAGCTGATGCCCTCGAGCCCAAAAACCATGGACTATAGGATGGGTGGGTGGACAGATGGATGGGTGGGTGGGTGGGTGGGTGGGTGGGTGGATGGGTGGATGGATGGGTGGATGGATGTTTGGATGGATGGACAGATGGGGTGGATGGATGGATGGATGGATGGATGGATGGATGGATGGATGGGTGGATGGATGGGTGGATGGATGGATGGATGGATGGATGGGTGGATGGATGTTTGGATGGATGGACAG